AATTCTTATCCCTGTGAGTCTTATTACAAAACCAGGATTTCGATATCACCATTATTTCGGGAGATATTGCAATGGGTAAATCCTCACGGGACACCCTGTATAGTGTCTAAAATTATTATTTTTTTAGAGTTACACTAAAAATCAAAACCAATTTTGTCGAAAACTAGTTTTGAGCAAAAATTTCCGTATTCCCTTAATTATTGTTTTGAAGGTTTTCCTCAGATTTTAAAAACTACGGGGAATTATTAATTTAGACCTGCCGAATGCACCAATAGATTCACATTCCCACCAGAAAATAAACTTAAGGTGAAAAACGCAGCATATATTTTGTCTATTTATATACAGACGTTCAGTCACAATAAATATTAATAGTTTTTCAAAAATCTAAAATGATGTCATATCTGATTCTACAATCTGTGCTTGCGATAGTGATGTGTCCTGATAATAGATAAGAACTATCGAAACGATTTTTGTATATAGTATTTGTATTTGGTTTCGATTAATCAGCTACTATTATTGTTATGTGTTTGTTGTGTCTCGTGTCTGTGACCTGTGCTGAAAAAACTTTAATAGGCACTCTTATCTCGTAGTGTTATAATATTCATAACAATAATCGCATTTCGTAGAACATTCTGTCTGTCGTTCTTACGGTATTATTGTAGAACGCAGTATTCTGATTTATTAATAATATTAAAAAAAAWTTTTTTAATCAAAATTTTCCATCTTAGTTTTTTTGATGACAATTGTAATAATACTCTGTGCAGTCTAAACTATAGCCTACATACTGGCAGTGAGCACTATAATTATAATTAATATTAAATGATAATCGTTTTAGAACATATTAGTTGGCTTTTGACCAATTAAATTATTTTTAATATGCATGAAATAATTATAAGAAACATATAATTAGTTTYAATATTGAAAATATCAATTAGCTTTATGATGCATTTGTTTTTTTCTTCTCGCGGATAGTCATTAAATAATCCGAATACATGGTACATAATCAGATTAAATATATTATTTAATGGGTATGTTTTTACCTTTTGTTCCTAAAAAATATAAGTATCTAAATTTATATTAGTGTTATACTATTATTACAATCATTTGATCATTAATTATTTGATACATACTTATACAATGGTCCTATTCGATCTATAAGTTTAATGAATATTATGGTTATTGTTGTCAATAAATTTCTAATTACATTGTTTATTAAACGTGTTCATAGATTAATACATTTAAATATTTGTATAGTTTTTGAAGTGCATCAAAAATGGATGAACAGGACCCTCTAGTATTTTCTGACACAGTTAACAATAGATTATTTGGACTTCCAGAAGTATTGGATAAAAATGTCGATGATATAATTGTCAATGAATGCAACACAGTCCTTACAAAACCACCAGATCGGTAAAATATGATTTATGTACAAAAAAAATATTCTAAAAACTAAAAACTTTCAATGTATTATTAAAAAGTTTGTTAGTATATTAATATATTTTATAAAGTACTTAACTAACTTCAATTCAAATTTATGAAAAAAAAAAGTTTTTAAGCAATTAATAATTACTTATTACTTAATATATGTTAACTGTATTAAATTTTCTTTTTCAGATACAATTTTGGATTTTTAATATTTTATGTACTTGGTACTTGTCTTCTACTTCCGTGGTACTTTTTTATGACAGCAAATGATGTAAGTTTTATCATTTTTATCTTCATTAATTTAATAATTTTATTAGATATGAGGAGTTAT